GTGACAGAATATTTAATAACATTGGCCCATGAGTGAATGTATCAAGCTTTTATTAAAATATTCTAGAATTATTTAGAATGCAACGATTGTAAAAAATGATATATCCATAAATTATTTTTTGCAAATATTCTACTTATTCTTGGAATACCACTTTTATTAACAATGTTTCTATGTCGATTTCTGGGAAGTTTAGAGATTATTCGCAAATTTCTTAGCCACTCTAACTGCATTCTTAAAAAAATATTTATAACAAATATATTAAACATCATTTAACAGAGAGGTGTAGATAAAAATCCACTTTTTAACTTCCCGTAGGGTAAGTTATTGTTATGGGCCGAAAATCGGAATTGAAAATTTTTACATTTCTCGACGTTTTGAAGGTTTCTGAACGTTTTGGCATACCTCAGAAAAAATGGATGTGTGTGTGTGTGTGTGTGTGTGTGTGTGTGTATGTATGTATGGATACAAATTTTCGTCCACGTTTTCGGGCGTACGGATCAACCGATTTGAATGGTTTAAAAAACATTCGATTCCTATTAATAAGGAGAAGAGCTGATTAGTTTTTGGCAAAGACAGGTCCAGCAGTTACGGAGATAAGGAGCAAAGAGTGCAGAGAAATAGAAATCGAGTTTTTGAGAGAACGGAGCTTTCGATTTGAATGATCTAAAAAACATTCCATTAGTAATGATTGTGAGAAAGGGTTATTAGTTTTTCGCAAAGGCAGGCCCAGCCATTTCGGAGATACAGAGCTAAATGTACAAAAAATGGCAGTTTTTGAGAGAACTAAGCGTCCGATTCAATTGATTCAAAGAACTTTCTGCTTGTCTTAACAAAATAATTGATTTTGGAAAAAAAAATTTGTACAATTTTTTTTTTTTTTTTTTAAATTTTTTGTATATCGAAAATAATTCAGATTTTATTTTTAATTATGACTATAGTTCTAATATACTTTAAACAAATAATTTCAACTCTGCAATTCAGTTTATATAATTATTATAAATATTAGACAATAACACAATATTTATAATAATCTATTTGAAAACATTCAATATTCCTCGAACGTTTCGTTACGGTACGGGAAGTTCCAGCAATTTGCCTTAAGGCACGATGCCACCCACCCCACTAGTTAATTTTTTAATTATATAAAGCTTTTGTTATTCTTTTTTTTCAATGTCTCATACAATTCACATGAAACTACAGTTGGTATTTATTCGTTTTACGATTGGTTTATAAGCTTAAAGAGTAGTTTAAATATTTTTTTCAGAATGCTTAAAATTATGAATAATCTATTTATTTATCTGCCTAATCTTGAAAATTAATTTGATATAAATAATTCATACTTACATAAAATCGGATTAACCACAATTATATAAAACAAACAACAGTGGATCCCACGTCCGTACTGCGTTAAGATTTTTAATGAGAGCTTGTAGTAATTTTACTCATTATTTATTATTTTTACTTCATTGATTTATTTATTTGGTAACAATATACATATACATATACATATGAAAATATATAATTTAAGAAATTGTTGAGAACATACAAAAATCAACACGTGATGTTATAAATTGATATAAATATTTTATATTAAATTCTCTCTCGATCCCAGAAATTTTTCACGACTCATAGTTTAAGAAGCCCTGGCTTAGGCTCATTTTTAGTTAGGCTTTTTTATATATATGGTTCTGTGGTATGGTGGTCCTTAATATGAACATTTTCGAATTTCCTTGCTCCCAAGGGCTCAAATGGTTCCAAATTGATAAAAAACAATTCTCTGAAAGTTTTCAAGAGCTAAAACATTTAGAGAATTGTTTTTTATCAATTTGGAGTCATTTGAGCCCTTGGGAGCAAAGAAATTCGAAAATGTCCATATTAAGGACCACCCTTATATATGTAATAATAGCATATGAGTGAAGCTGCATTTTTGTGTAAAACGCCTTATCGTACAGAAAATACATGGCATTTGCACAGTATTTAGTACCATTTTGTATGAGAAGCGCTCCTTAACATAAGCTTGCCATAACATTGGTCTATTTTACGGTAGAATCGGCTCCTAAATCCCACTTCTTATGGTATTAAGGCACCAGAAGATAAGGGAGCGTCCATTAATCACGGGGGGTAATTTTAACCGATTTTTTTACGGTGGAATCGTCCCCTAAATCTCATTTCTTATGGTATTGAGTAAGGCATACTATCTTAGAGGGGGGGTCTATTAGTCACGTGAGGTTTTTAGGGAGAGGAGGGGTTTGACACAAAATTACAAAATACACGTGGGGGGAGGGGTAATTTTAACCGTTTTTTTTTTAATTTAAACATTTTCAAAAAAAAATCCAAAATTCTACAGTTTCATCATGTAACTAAAAATACACGTGATGTTCGGTAGGAAAGGGGGGGGGGTTACTTTTGATTATCATCATGTATCACCAAAACAGGGGGCGTCGAAAAATCCTTAAAAACTCGCTCACGTGATTAATGGACGCCCCCTTATCTTCTGTATTATCACCAGATCTCTTATTATAAGTCGCATACACATACGCAATGCAGATAGATAAATAATTTTGTTCGTGTATGATTCTGTTTTTTTTTTGCAATAGTCTTCGAAAGTAAATCGTCGTTTCATGTGAATGTAATAAAGCAATGACCTTAAGATATACGCGAATTATATATAGTCGAAAGCAAAAAACTAGCCTTACCTAACGCTTATAATGCTCTGGTGGTCTTTTATTTGGATTATTCGAGCCACCAACTTTCTTCTCTCTATCGGCGGCGACTTCCGTCCGATGTAAGTGCTCTCGTATTAAATAATTTTAATAATAAAACGTTCCTATTTACAACTGGCGTGAACGTGATCGGATATGACTGCATGCAAATAAATGCAAATGTGCATTACTTTTATTTTTAGACAGTTTTACAATTAATTAATGGACGCTTATCTACTGATCAGACATTCGTAAGTGCATTGATTTGTTTTACTTCGACCGAACCTTTGTAATATTATGGGAAAGCAAATGATTGCTCGAAAATCAAAAGAAGAGACTTAAATGAATATTAAACTAGATGACCTGACAGACGTTATCCTGTACTTATGCTTACAATTCAGAAGTTCCAATTTTTTTAATAACCTATACTGACCTATACTTTACCAATTAGTTACAAATTATTATGTTTTTTTACACTACAGTCTATACCGAAATGTATATACATCCACCCATATGGATCTTAAATGCTTTAAATAAAATGATGAGTATTTGCTTTTTTTGAAAAACATTATAAAACATTTTTTTCTTATTACTTACTTTTGTCGAAAAAAATGAAATTACATCACTGAGAGGGATGTCATCCCCCCGGTATATGGCAAAGGAGTCTAAATTATTTTCACTTTTGAATTTGAGAGTAAGATAAACCTAATATCAAAATTTCATACGAATTGGAGCACAGTAAAAGAATTCAGACCCAAAACTCTTCATTGACTTGAGTAAATATTTCGTATCCGATGGCAAAAATATGAAAATACTAATGTTTGTATGTGAAAAAGAAAAGAGCTGTTTTTAGGGTTTTCTCGGCAATTATATGATGTTTTCTTGCCATAAAAACCATCCTTGGACTTCAACGAACATTTTAAAAAAAGAATTGGCCAAATTGGTCCAGGCGTTGTTGAGTTATGCGCTTACCAACCCATTTTGCGATTCATTTTCATATTATAGATTATTTATTATTTGTTATCTTGTCTTAAGTTTCTCGACTTAAATTTAGATGTATGGATAATTATTTCATACTTTATATAAACAGATAAAACATCTATTTTTATTAGAAGTCATTATTATTTTTGATGGTCTTGTAAATTAACATAATATAAAATACCTCATATATTACCAATCGATTCCCCGCTCTGGCAATCTGACATCGGGCAGCGCGATGTCCATTTTCAATTAATAATATAGATCAAAATAAAAAAAACTTTCTCACTACTTCTTCCCTGAATCGAGTTGTACTTCAACTCAGCTCACAGACCTGCCTTAGGGCAGTATTACCCATTATTATTATATTACCAATGAAAATGTCCAGAAATTGTAATTTTCTACATTGAAGTTTTATATAAATAAAATTATATGAAACCTTGAGGTGTTGATACATTATAGGCATTATAGGTATATGAGTTAGGGTTTAATGATCGTTATATCATTAAAAATTGTATGAGCCATTTATTTGATATTCATATGCTTTGGCTAACATCCTAGCTTTCATTGAAAGAAAAATAAGGTTTTTCTTACCCTACAAATTATTTTAAATCTATCTTCATTTATTTCTAATATTTCATTTTTGTTTGTCATTTATTTAAATTTAAGCGATATTCCTAACCTGCTAATAATTATATATAATATTTTTTTCATTTTAAGTCAGTTTTATGTTGGAATGGGCTTCTACATTACTTTATAAAGTCTGGTCTATGATATTTTTAATGCTGCCAATAAAAATGTCCTTGTAAATATTTTTAAAATTTAGGCTTCATGTTTGTTGTATTTGTCTACTTATTTTTTAATCTACCGAATGACTGGTTTTAATATTTATCCAAAAACTTTCTGTTTATTTATATGAATAATTCTTTAATTAGTTTTCGAATTTTTTTATCAAACTCTTCATCTTGCTAGACGAAGTTGTTATTGTTACGTAGACATGCACCAACCAGCTTAAAAAATTGAACCACTGTGAAAAAACTTGAACATTTTGATGCAAGTACGAATGAACCAATGCAGAATCACCCAGAGTGAAGGTGAAAGTATTTTCGTATAAGCAACACACCAAACACAATCTCTTTCCAAGTGTGCGACTGATATGTGTAACCATATAAATACCGTGGTCTGTCCTGACAACAGCATCATTCGACTTCCACCTTTCATCGAACCAACAATCAAAGGATAATTGGAAATTTAATAGTTTTTGAAAAATAAGCAAAATGCGTGCTTTTGCTAGTGCTTTAGCAGTTTTGGTCTGTGCTATTTGGTGTGTAGAAGCAGGATACAGCCATGGAGGCGATTTCAGCAGCGGAGGAGGCGGTGGTGACTTCGGAGGACACGGAGGCGGTGGTGGTGGTGACTATGGTGGTTCCATCCACGAGTCCCATGCTATTCCTGTAAGCCAACATATTGAAATCACAAAACCAGTAGCCGTGCCAGTTTACAAGCACATCCATGTACCAGTGCCAAAACACGTTGAAGTCAAAATTCCTCATCCAGTTTTAGTACCTGTTCCTCAGCCTTACCCAATCCACGTGCCAGTTTCCCAAGCTGTTGCTGTTCCAGTGGAGAAAATAATCACAGTTCCCGTTGAGAAGATTGTACCTTACCCAGTAGAGAAGAAGATTCCTTATCCAGTTGAGAAGCACATTCCAGTACCAGTGGAGAAACATGTACCATACCACGTACCAGTTCCAGTACCAGTCAAGGTACCCATCTACAAAACCATTGTCCACGAGTCCAAGAAACACGGATGGGAATAAAGTGAAGAATCTTAAGAAAAGACTTACTTGGTTACATACATTCACTTCAAGAGTGAAAAGCGCCCATGGGAAATTAGCCAACACTGATTTTCCAAAATGAATTATTTTGTAAATATATAATATTTTGTATGTAATCAGGCTAAAACTGAAATTTGTGATAACGAAGTCGCTTTTGTAAATATTTTTAATTGTTTTATAACTACTTCTGTAAAAACATTTTTATACTTGTTATATTTGTTGATAATTGTAATACTCGTTGTGTTTGTCTGATAAATAAATATAATTTTAACTATATAATGATTTATTATTATTATTATTATTATTGAAATATTTGAGTTCATACAGATTTAATATACTAATTATTATTAATATAATTAATAATAATAATTAAATATAATAATAATTATTATTATCATAAATAGTAATAATTATCATTATTATATTATATAATAATAATATTTATTAATATTATTATTATTGTTTCCTATAGCAAATACATTAAATTTCTATTGTTGATTTTCTCCTTTATCATTTTTTTCATATTTTAGAAATAATTTAACTTACTCCATTCAATTTAGATTTAAATTTGCTTCTCATTATTCAATCTATTAACGTTTAATAAACATCTGAAACCCTATTCAGTACAACTTTTTATTTTTTTTTTTCAATTTCTATTTCCACTTAATATACAAGAATGATAGTAATTTTGCTCATTATTTTTGTTTAATACATATTAATTACTATTTAATTTTAAATATGTGTTCATAATTTATTTATCAACTTATTATTTATTTTGATTTTGAAATTTCTATTTCCTTTATCAGATCTCTCGGCATGAAAGAAGACCATCTCAATTAGAGGCCTTAAATGAGATGCCCTTATATCCAACTGAAGATGTCATTTGGGATGAAAACGTTGTACCTTCCGAATATTTTTCAGGAGAGGGTTGTTTAGCCCTGCCGAAATTAAATTTACAGTTTTTGACGCTCCATGATTATTTGCTGCGGAACTTCGATTTGTTCCGTTTGGAATCTACATGTATGTAAATTTATTGATTATGCAATAGAAAATAGTTCAATTGGAAAAATAGAGTGATTGATAAGTAATAATTGATTATAATTTACTTTCTAATTTGATAAATGCTTTGTTTCCTTGTTCTTTGACATGTGAATATGTATATATATATATATATATATATATATATGTGTGTATATATATATATATACATGCAATATTAAACTGATTTAATTACATATTATATTGTATTGTAAATTTATTTTTCAGATGAAATTAGACAAGATATAGAAGATGCTGTAAGCCGATTGAGCCCATGGTAAGAAAGTTTTTATCTTTATAAACAAACTTATAAAAAAAATGTTGGCATAGCAGCCCATTCGTCGAATTAAAAATGATAAATAATTTAACATTTTTTTATTTATACGTTTCGACACTTGATATGTGCCATCATACAGTAAATCAAACCAGAAAAAACAAACCACAAAATTTAAACGAGATTTTTGAAAAAAAAAAAGAAAAATTCAATTGACGATAAATATGAATCTTACATGATACATGGAATCATTTTCTGCATTTTTTCCTGCTGTCTCTGATTTCGATTTTGTTTATTGTTTTGGATGTCGAAATATGATATCGGGTTGAGTGACGCCAAAATATGCATAAACATGAAGAATCAAACAAAATGGATATAAGTTATAAGCTTTTATATAAATAACTATAATAAATAACTCAAAGGAGCCTTTTCGTGATATTTGCAATAACAAATATCTACAAGCATGATAAAACTATATATTATGAACTGTATTTTGATATTTATTAAAGGCAAGTCGGGTCAGTAGTTTATGGAATGAGAGCCAATTTGTAATTTTTAATACATGTTCCTCACAGGTGCTATTTAAATTCAAGTATTTTATTGGCAAATTTTAAATCTTTGTTTTGCAAATTTAATTACATATATGTACTTGTTCCAGAAATTGCTGCAACGACATTGCCAGATTTAGCTTTTCCCACAATTAGATACCACTTCGATTTTACAATTACAATTTGCAATTGTTTATCTATAATTGCATTTATTATAATTTCTATTTATTTCTATTATTATTAATTTCTATTATTTCTATTTCTCAGGAAAGCCGAAGACGGTGGTGTGGTGTTTGGAGGTTGGGCGCGCATGGCTCAACCTATAACAAAATTTGCAGTTGTTGAAGTTGCCAAACCAAGTATTGGCGAAAAAAGGCCATCCAGAGTTCGAGCAGATGTAGCTGTTGTATTACCAACCAGGAATGATGTTAGAAACGAATGGGAAAATTTACGAAAGCACGATGTCTGCTTTTTGATCTCAATAAAACCCACTTGTCCTATTGGTATGATAAAAGATGAATAGTATTGGAGAGAGTGCATGCTTAAATGTATATATTTTTAGGAACGCGTTACCAGCACAAAGAACCATTTATCCCTCAAGTTGGTCTTCATAGAGTACGAGGTTGTGAAATAGAGGGTTTGCTAGATGCTAATGGTCGTGTTATAGAAGATGGTGTTGATCCTAAACCAGAACTTCCTGGTGATGAGCGTGTATTCCGAGTCTGGTTAGATTGCAATCAATATCGAAGAGATATGGATGCTTTGAGCCACGGTGAAGATGTACGTTTATATCAATCATAATCAATAAATCAATATTTAATCTATTAATTTTTGTATTATAGGATGTCTATGAAAGTTTCAATATTTTACTCCGGCGTAAACCCAAAGAAAATAATTTCAAAGCTGTTTTGGAAACAATTCGGGAGCTAATGAATACTGAATGTGTAGTTCCTGAATGGCTGCACGACATCTTACTTGGCTACGGTGACCCAGGTTCAGCACATTATTCCAGGATGCCTAATGAAATAGCTTGTATGGATTTTAATGATACATTTTTGGATATGGATCATTTAAGGGCCAGTTTTCCTAATGCGGAAATCAGGGTGAAGACTGATGATCCACGAAAACTTGTTAGACCTTTCAGGTACAAAATAATTGCATTTGGTACTTTAAGCTAGAATTTGTTGTGAGCTTTAATCTTCTGTTTTAGATTAACATTTGAAAACGTTTTGAAAAAGCAGCAAGATGATGAGGACATGCCGGAACCCAATGGTAAACAGGAAAAAGAAGTTATAACTGTTGAGCCTCATGTTCAACCAAGCAGAGGTCCTTATCATTTTAATGAACCTAAAAAGTAAACAAGAATTCAAGTGATATTTATTTATAATCAGTCCATGTTTTCATATTAATTAATGCTATGTTTATTTCAGGAACGCTATACCGTTTACACCAACGCAAATTGAAGCGATCAGATCAGGAATGCAGCCAGGTTTAACAATGGTAGTTGGTCCGCCAGGTGAATAATTAGATATAATAATAAATAATATAATTTTTTCTTAAATTTTAATAGAACCGAATGATTTTTTACTTAGGTACGGGTAAAACTGACGTGGCCGTCCAGATCATATCAAATTTGTATCACAATTTCCCGACACAGAGAACGCTTATTGTAACGCATTCTAATCAGGCCTTGAACCAGCTTTTTGAAAAAATTATGGCATTGGATATAGACGAACGCCATTTATTGCGTCTTGGTCATGGTGAAGAAGCTCTGGAAACCGAGAAAGATTACAGCAGGTACACTAAATAAATACTTCTATTTCATTCACTGATGTTTACTAATACAAATTCAAACTATTTTATTTAGATATGGTCGAGTTAATTACGTTTTAGCAAAACGTTTAGATCTTTTGACTGAAGTTCAACGATTACAAGATTCTTTAGATGTTTCCGGTGATGTTGCATATACTTGTGAAACTGCTGGTTATTTCTACCTTTATCAGGTATTTATACAATTTTTATATTTTTTTTATTGAAAAGTATTTTAATCGATTACTAATTTACTAAATTTCAGGTTTTAGCAAGGTGGGAAAAATTTCTAAATGAGGTGCAGAAGAATTCAAAGCAAAACCAAAACCTTGATATTATAAATGATGAATTTCCTTTCCACAAATTTTTTGAGAAAGCCCCACAGCCGTTATTTAAGAAACAATCTTTTGATCAGGATATGGAAATTGCTCAAGGATGTTTTAGGTAATAATTTTGATTTAAAAATTTAATTAACTTGACTATTGTTATCGATAAATTCAACTTTTTTTCTAGATATATAACGAGATTATTCACTGAATTAGAAGAATTTCGTGCTTTTGAATTACTCAGATCAGGTCTGGATAGAACAAAATATTTATTAGTCAAAGAAGCTAAAGTTATCGCCATGACCTGTACTCATGCAGCTCTCAAGAGGAAAGAGTTAGTTAACATGGGTAAATAATAATTTATTTATTCACTTTGATAATAATATTTCTTTGCTTACTAATTTTTTTTTATTAATTTCCATAGGTTTTAAATATGACAACATCCTAATGGAAGAATCGGCGCAAATTCTGGAAATTGAAACATTCATCCCTCTGTTATTGCAAAATCCTCAAGATGGACACAGCAGACTGAAGCGTTGGATTATGATTGGAGATCATCATCAATTGCCACCAGTTATCAAAAATATGGCTTTTCAAAAATATAGCAACATGGAACAAAGTTTATTCACAAGAATTGTTAGACTGGGTGTTCCTACTGTTGATTTAGATGGGCAGGGACGTTCCAGACCAGGGTAATTATTAGATAAAAAACTGTATGTTTTTCAGAAATTATGTTTGCAATAATTTAATTTAATTTACTGTATTACAGAATTTGCAACTTGTATAACTGGCGCTATAAGACTTTAGGAAATTTGTCTCATGTTGAAAATTGGCCTATTTATAAAACTGCCAATGCTGGTTTTTGTTATGAGTACCAATTAATAAATGTGGAAGATTTTAATGGTGTTGGTGAATCTGAACCTAGTCCATACTTTTATCAGGTAAGTTGTTTTGTGAATTATATTTAAATTAGCATTATTAAATATAGGTTTCTTAATGTTGTTAATAATAAATATATTTGCAATACATTATTTTACAGAATTTGGCAGAAGCTGAATATGTTGTTGCAGTGTTTATGTATATGAGATTGTTAGGGTATCCAGCAGAAAAAATATCAATTCTCACAACTTATAATGGCCAAAAGCATTTGATTCGAGATGTGATTAATATGAGATGCACAGATAATCCACTAATTGGCCGTCCACATAAGGTATTATTAAAATGTATTCTTTATATATTTTATATAGTGTTTTCAGTCATAAACTTCTTGTAATTTCTTGTATATCATGAATCTTCTTTGACATTAATATTCAATTTCAGGTTACAACTGTTGACAAGTACCAGGGTCAGCAGAATGATTATGTATTAGTTTCCTTGGTACGTACAAGAGCCGTAGGTCATTTAAGAGATGTCAGACGTCTTATTGTGGCAATGTCCAGAGCACGGCTAGGATTATATGTATTTGCAAGAGCTTCTTTATTCCAAAACTGTTTTGAACTTCAACCTACATTTAATCAGGTAAAATTTAGACTTTTAATCACAAGTTTGAACATTAACTGACATTTTGGTAATTTATTTTCAGTTGGTTCAAAGGCCATATGAACTGCATTTGGCTCAAGGGGAGGTGTTCCCTACAGAACGACGAGCAGAGCAACAACCACAGCATCCACCTCTTATCATGAAAGACATGCCTGAAATGGCTAAATATGTTTATCAGTATTACATGGAGACTATAAAGGCAATGCAAAAAGGAATGGTAAGATAATTGAGTTAATCCAATGCACTAATGTACTGATCCAAATTAAGGATAAGGGATTCAATGATTCAATGTTTCAGGTTCAGCCTAAATCTTGGAGTAAACCAGGTGATGTTCCAACAAATGCACCAGAGAAACCAGCAGCAGCTCATCCTAGTGGTGATAGAGACTCCGACAGTGAGGATGAGGAACAAAATAATCAACCACAAACTGAACAAATAAGTACAAATACAAAACTGATTCAGAAAATACAAAAGACTTAGAAAACAATATGGAACCAACAGAAGATTCAGAGGAATCAGAAAGTATTTCACAAGATGTACCAATTCCTGAAGATAATGCATCAAATATGGAAGTTAGTGAAAATACTGCACGAGTTGTAGAAGATTCTGAAGACACATCAGCAAATAAAATGTGTGAAACAAATGAGGATGAAGGTACAGAAAGCACTGAAAATATTCCAACAGTTCATATAAAAACAGAAACTGTTTCACCAGAATCCAGAAGAACCTCCAGTACTGAGGCGTTTGAAAATATGGAAATATCTGAAAATCCTGCATCTACACCAGAAGAATCTACGGAGGTTATAAAATGTAAAACTGAAAAGGAATGATAATGATGAAAAATATTTATCATTAAATAGTTTTATATTGTGAATAGAAATTAGAAATTAAGATTCTTTAATATTGTGTACTGAAAAACGTCAATAATAATTTTATTTATATTTTTATAACAATATCATTATTTGAAACATTGTTTATCATTTAAATTTAATTCATGTAATGGATTAAATAATGCTCCTATTTTTAATAAATAAACCATATTTCAAATCTACAATTTTTTATATAAAAATTTATCTATCACATATATAAAGACTTTGCTTTTTTTACAGTATATATTCATATCACATATCCAAAGACTATACACATTGCCTTCTACCGTAATATTCAAATAGGTGAATTTCACAATGTTTTAAATTTCTATTTGAATTTTGCGCTTTAAATTGTACAAGTGGCCACACATAGATAAAAGAAGAGTATTGATAATTGTATGTATATAATTGAAGGATACATTGGCGCTGTAAATAAATTGTTTAATTATAAAATTGATTCCAAATGGAGACCCTGAAAGAGATACTTATCAAACTATACAAGGTACACCGAGGCACTTCCACAACACACCCAATTTTTTTTACTCTTTATGAACATTTTGCGATGAATTTCCTATATCATTATTATCTACTAAATTAATTAAATGAGTTGATGAACAAATTAACAGAATCCAATCAAAGATTTAATTAAAAAGTCTTAATTAACGCGAGCATAAAACCGTGACCATAATTATATATCAAGTAGAGTATAAAGCGATATATAAATGTACATATTGATATTTCTCCTAAGCCAGAACCATAATTATATATAAAAGCGTATAAAGGAATCCAATAAGATTTCTAGATTCATAAGGTGATTGCATGCAGCGCCTCTATGCAAAATCGTTCCCACTTTGCGAGGAACTAACGTCAAACGTTTGACAGTTCTTGCGTTGAATAGGAATCCAATAAGATTTCTGAGCTCCTGCGGTGATTGCTTGCAGCGCCTCTATGCAAAATTGTTCCCAGATCGTGAGGAACTAACGTAGAACGTTTGACAGTTCATATCCAGTTGGAATCCATGGACTACTAACCACGGATTTATATACTGTTTTTTCCATCATTATATATGGGCCAGCTGACTTAGTTTGTATGAGAATTGGATATATAAATTTATATATCGATTTTTCCATCATTATATATGATATATACGCCTTAATTTGCATGGGAAATGGATATAGAAACGTATATATTGATTTTTCCATCATTATATATGAATAAGCTGACTTAGTTTGTATGGAAATTGAATATATAAATGTATATATTGATTTATACATGACTATATATGGCCTAGCTGCCTTATTTTATATGGGAAATGGATATATAAATGTATATATTGAATTGTACATTATTAGACTTAAAAACTCCTTGCAGTAATAATGGAATTAGATATATAAATGTATATAATTATTATGTATCATATAATGAATTATTATATTATTATCATTAAAAAAATATATATTTAAAACATTGTGATTTTGCTAATTACATATGAGTATATTTGTAATATTTTGTAATTATGTGAATAAATATTTAAGTAATTTAATTTGATTTTTTTTAACATATAAATTATAGAATTTTTCAGGTTGCTTTTGGCAAACAATAATTAATAACCATAAATAATTTGACAAACAATAATTAATAGCTCTATAATTAATTTTATTTACTTAATTACAATTATACATAAAGATCCATCCATTTTATTTTATATGATACTCATTAATTTATTCAAAAATTGTTTATTAATAAAGTTCTTAAAAAATATACGTTCGCAATGATAGGAAGAGCCGACATCGAAAAAGATACTTTCGCAATGATAGGAAGAGCCGACATCGAAAGGCAGGCCGACATAATAAGGCAGCTAGCTCATATATAATGATGGTAAAAAGCAATATATACATTTATATATTTATTTCCCATACAAATTAAGGTGGCTAGGTCATATATAATAATTCATGTAGATATAGTTGTTAATTCTTTAGTAATTGACTAAGATATTGACCAACACTATCCTTAATTTTTTTTATCAATTTTTAATTATTTATCATGCCTAATTACTAAGGAATACTAATACTTTGAATTAAAAAGTGTCAAATTCTATAATTTTTATAATTTATAACTATTATTTATATATTTCAATGTTTATTTAAAATTTATTGAAAAAAAAAACTAAAATACTTAATAAATTTCCTTGGAGGTTCGAAGGTGACCTTGACCTTGACCTTGACCACGACAAGGTCAGCACAAAATCTCCCTGAAAACGCAAAAAGTTTTCAAAAAATTCCCATAGAAAAAACGCAAATTTTACAAAAAGTCGATTTTCTGCTCTCCTGAGCAAAAAACGGACAAAATTTTCCCCCCTGTAACCTCCCGCTTGAAATTCGCAAGGACCAGCAGAATCAAATGAGGCCCACTTTCAACCCCCTGGGTGAACATTTAATTTTTTCATATCATCCCCCTGTGACCTTGACTCGAATCATGATGGTCAGTCGTCGAAGAATGTCCTTCCAGTGTTAGCAGGCGGAAACCCTTCGTCGTCGTGGCCGTAACGGTTAGAGCGCTAAACTAGACTCTAATCAGAAGGAGGCTGGTTCGAACCCGAAGGGTGCATATGGGGTTTTTTATTTGACAAGTAAAATGGCGAGGAAGGTATGTGAAATTATTGTTAAGATCAAAATTCAATCAGAACGAAAGTACCAAATTCAATCAATTGTTTACCAGCGACGGGGTGGGTGAGATCGTTAAATGGCTTCGGTCGCAATGGCGTATGTTCTCGTTTCTGGATTTCGAGTTCAAATCTCCAATATATATATATATATATATATATATATATATATATAATATGTATGTATATATGGACCACAATTATATATAATTGCTTATAAAGGAATCCACTAAGTTCCAAGGCGATTGATTGTAAATATTGATATTCCTTTAAAACCGAGATGACAAATTATATTTATAATAGAGTATAAAGCGATATATAAATGTATATATTGATATTCCTTCAAAACCAGTACCATAATTATATATCTAATGGCGTATAAAGCGATATATAAATGTATATATTGATATTACTCCTAAGCCAGGACCATCATTATATTTAAAAGCGTATAAAGGAATCCAGTAAGATTTCTAGATTCATAGAGGCGATTGCATGCAGCGCCTCTATGTAAAATTGTTCCCACTTTGCGAGGAACTAACGTAGAACGTTTGACAGTTCTTGCGTGAATAGGAATCCAATAAGATTCCTGAGCTCCTGCGGTGATTGCTTGCAGCGCCTCTATGCCAAATCGTTCCCAAGTCGTGAAGAACTAACGTAAAACTTTTGACAGTTCATATCCAGTTGGAATCCATGGACTACTAACCACGGATTTATATACTGTTTTTTCCATCATTATATATGGGCCAGCTGACTTAGTTTGTATGAGAATTGGATATATAAATTTATATATCGATTTTTCCATCATTATATATGATATATACGCCTTAATTTGCATGGGAAATGGATATAGAAACGTATATATTGATTTTTCCATCATTATATATGAATAAGCTGACTTAGTTTGTATGGAAATTGAATATATAAATGTATATATTGATTTATACATGACTATATATGGCCTAGCTGCCTTATTTTTATATGGGAAATGGATATATAAATGTATATATTGAATTGTACATTATTAGAATTTATGTAGAGGCATACCATTTGTTGTATTTAACTGTCTTCCCAGAAATATACATTAAACAGAAAAACAGAGATGATGAATAGAAGATCGAGTAAGTTTTGCAACATTTTATATACTATTATATATAATAGTTTTAAGAGGTTTAATTTTATTCATATGAAAACTTAAATATCGAACTACAATTCCGATGAATTTGTCAATTCATGTGATAATAGAATAGAATAAAGTGATAAATCAAAGTAGTAATAATGTCAGTATATTAAACATCAGTTGTAGTTACATAAAATCAATATTTTTTAAATGAAATGAATTAAAAAATATTGAGAAATGCTATAGTTTATGACGAAACACAATTCTGTACAAAGTACCTTTTGCTCATGTAGTTGAATCAAATGAAATGAATGAATTCACTATAAGTGATACTATAGATAAATTCTTTATTGAATCCGATTTATACTTACAATTCCTTTTATAATGAAAAATTAATTCTTTCTCCCATCAAGCACTTTGAAGCAAACGCATAATGGAGTTTTTAATTAATTGTCAATGAATTGATAATTGATATTTATGTGCTTCGAATATTGCATACATGTTTCTACTATTACAATACTTTTAGAATGAATTGAATTAAAAATAATAAGAACTTTATATAGTGCATATAATATTATGTTTTCACAACAAATATTTAATTATTAACAATAATCTCACTGAATTTCTATTTTATAGTGTTAGGGATTTTTTCACTGTTGCAAGTATACATACTTTGGAGAAAAATAATTGTTCGGGATGGTAACAGGATTGTCCTGTACTTCAGAGATAATATACAAGTTCTGATGCATATATTAATAGAAGAATGCATTTATGCTTATTTCCAAATGCCTGAAATCTTTAAAAATTAATATAGGTAACTATAATTTTGTGC